TACTCGACAACGGTGGTGGCTTGTAAACCTGCAAAACAAGAGATTATAGTAAATGGCAAGAAGAAGAAAATTGACTGCTATGAAACAACATTTGAAGACACTGTCATGTTTCCTGAGGGTGGAGGTCAGGTAGGGGCTTCATTCAAAATTCCCTTGAGATAATTGGTACATGGCACTTTTGATAATCTAATTAATTTGAATAAAAATAATAATTACTACAGTGGAACCCCAGTTATCGGCTGTAATCCGTTCCAGAAGGTCGGCCTAAATCCGAAAAGGCCGAAAACTGAAGTAATGTTTCCCATAAGAATTAATGTAAATACAATTAATCCGTTCCAGACACCCAAAAATATTAACAAAAAATACATTTTTTAAAGATTAACCCTTTGACTGTTTCAGGCCCCTTTCTGAAACTGTCATTCTATGTTGCTCAATTTTTGAAAAAAAAAATTATTTTTTCTTTTGAAATGATAGAGAATCTTTTCCCGATGGTAATGACGCCAAAAGTTCGAAATTTGGTCGAAAACTCGTGGAATTATGCTCCCGTGAAGTTAGCGGTCTCGGCGACATGTGCGTATCAGCGATTTCGCCGGCTTTGATCCCTATTTTCAGCCAATTCTATTGTTCCAGTTGACCAAACTCATAGCTATTTCTTTAGAACTCCATTTTATCTATCAGCTGAGTACAAGAAACCTCCCATTTACTAATTTGGACTACCCAATATGGTGGTCAGAAATTGGCAATTTGGCCAATTTCACGCAAACTAAAAAAGATGCCAATTTCAAAATAGGGTCCAGAATAAACAAGGTAGACATTCGTGGCACTAAAATAACATATGCTCTGTTCATTAGTCACATCTCTAGGCCCCTCTTATATTATTATTGCTTTCTATTTTGATTTTTTATTCATACAAAAAAATACAAAATTTACTGTTATGCAGACTACTGCATTATTGTAAAAATGGTATAAATAATATCAGTGCACTAGTGAAAGAATATTAGACTCTCCAGTTGACGTGTATTGGACGTGTGGTGTGATTTATTTACTCCTGAACATTGGTAAAAATCGAACATTTCCGCTACTTTGAGCTCAGTTTCAAGGTCGTTTTCATCGTCAAAGTAATGAAAATCATCTCTATTTCTGTAATATGTTTTCCATTTTGTCACCTAAGACCATGAAAATGCGAATACAACGATAAATACTATACGAAAATACACTTCAAAGTCGGCGTTTTATTCCAAAAAAACGATCACAGTTTTTTTTTTCTCATTACGCAATGTGTGCTGCAGGATTTTTTTTATGTGGTGCACACTGACCACACAGACCCATTCTCTCACATGTGGGCCTACCAGCTTTCTCCCGCTTGATTTGAAGTCGCTAGAATTATTGAGTATATATACGTCAGAAACATTGGCTCGTAAGACGTATTTATATGTCGAAAACAGTCAAAGGGTTAACTATAGTTTTACATACAGAAAACAATGTGAAATAAATATAAATCACAAATTTTAATGATAAATGAACATTACATACCTCTATTGAAGACTCTTGTTGGAGTATTGAAGATGGCAAGGAGGGGAGAGGGAGTTGGGAATCCCTCTCCATAAGGACTTCAGGTATCAAAACCCTCTTTAGGGTTACTTCCCTTCTTTGTCCTTTACTGCCACAGTACATTCATTACTTACCTTAAAATATTTGTAGTCTAACTGTAGGGTGAGAGGTTAGTAGCATTTATTTGTAGGAAGTCAATGTAGGCAGTGGTAGATGTAGGTACATGGTAATAATATGGCTGTGTAGTGTAGCCCCCATGGGCTACACTGCACAGCCATATTATTACCATGTTCACTGAGTTTAATCGTTTCTAACAGCTACTTATAGATGCCATCATAAACAAAGGGAGAAGCAATGAATAATTCATGCCGAGAATTGTAAACAAACACGTATGAAGGGCGGTGACTAGGACAGACGCCAGATTCACAGTTTTCTCTTAAGCTGAATCAGAGAACACATAATGTTTACTCTCGACCCGACTCACCACTCGATAGCGTATAAACATTGCGTGTTTATATGCTATGTTTATATGCTATATGCTATGTAACGTGTTTCTTATACAATTTTGAAGAAAATATCATAGATTAATGAAAATGTCTATATTAACCTAAAATAAGACATTTAATGTGCCTAAGAGTGATAAATATTAAACATACATTGCATATAAACATTGCATGTTTTTATATACTATGTAATCTGTTTCTTTGGACCCAAGGTGGCTTATTTCGCAGTCACGCTTAATAAACAACCACAAAAAACAATGGCTTATAACAAAATGTTTGGATGAATGTGCGGAATGTTGCTCACTCACCCAGAGACACAGCCAGACTGACTCATGACCGCAGCGGAGTGGCGGGTGGACATGTCCAATATGGCTGATTTCAGAGTTGCCGGCCAAAATCCAGGAAAGAATTTCAGCCAAAAAAGTGGCCGAAATCCGGGGTTCCACTGTACTTGTTTGTTTTGGGGAACTTTTTTTTTTTAACAAAAGTTAATGATACAGTAATGCTATAGTGTGCATTAGTAAATACATATAAGTTTATGTTCCTGAAGATCTCAGAATATGTAATTGTATTTACCTACTTGTAATTGATCTGTGATAATATTCAAGCAGTCTAAATTGTTAGGTACCTATAATTATATTCCAATATTTTTTCTATGGAGAAATAAATATTGAAGCAGTTATTGCTATGCAGTAATATTAGAAAAGATTTTTGCCAGGTATGGTGGCAGTATTCAAGAAGACTTTGCCAGATTTGGTAGTAATATTTAAGAATTTTGTCAGGTAGTGTTATTTTTTTTTTTACCTTATATACTATCAAAAAATTAGATTAAGTTGTAATAAAGGACTGAAGGTATTTGACACACAGTAATGTTCATGTAGGTTTTGTCTAGCAGTAAGAAATAATCAAGCCATATCTGTCATGTTATATTTAATTAAATGTTGCCATTACAGTAGTAATATTAAAGTATTTTATGCTATGTAGTAATATTTTAGCAGTTTTTTTTAAATAGAAATTTTTAACTCTCACTGTCCAGACCCCTGAAACTAATGTTGTTCTAGGTACCCACTTTAAAAAGAATAATATTTTTGCTTCTGAAATGATAAGAGAATATTTTTCTGAAGGTAATGACACCTAAAGTACAAACAAACTTATGGAATTATACAGGCACAAAGTTAGCCGTCTTGCCGCAATTTATGCATCGGCAATTTTGCCTAATTTGAGTCCTATTTCAAGCCAATTTCATTGTTCTGTTTTATCAAATTCATTGCTATTATGTGTTCCCGTCTGTTGACTGAGCACAAGAAACTGCCCATTCAACTATTCAGCTATGCTATAAAGTTCACAGAAGTTGGTAATTTGGCTCATTTTACACAAAATTAAAAAATACCAATTTAAAAATAAAAGTAATAATAAACAATATAGACATTCCTGGCACTAAAACATTTCCTGAACATTAAAAATGGTATAAAATACCGACAGATTGTTAGGTAAGACACATATGCAACAGTTAGGTATCTTTATTTCGAAACGTTTCGCCTACACAGTAGGCTTCTTCGGTCGAGTAACTGTTGCATATGTGTCTTACCTAACAAAACATTTCCTCTGCTCATTAGCCATGCCCCCAGGTCTCTTCTATATTACACTTACCTTCCATTTTGAATTCTTATTCGAGAATAGAAGATTTACTCCATTTCTTGGATAATAAAATATAACCAGGAAAGATTGGTTATGGTTTACAACATCCCATTAATTAAGTGAATCAAACTCATTAAAAACCCATAAAACAGACTGGGGGTTGTACAGGGGGGAGGGGGATTACCCGCCTTCTTGGATATCATGAAAATCAAATATCTCTGCTACTGTGAGCTCAGTTTCAAGCTACTTCTAGTTCTTAAACCAACCAAAATAATTTTTATTTCAGTCATATGTCCTCCATTGTATCAAATGATTTATTATTTATTTATTTATTTATTTATTTATTTATTTTTTTTTCAACAAGTCGGCCGTCTCCCACCGAGGCAGGGTGACCCAAAAAAGAAAGAAAATCCCCAAAAAGAAAATACTTTCATCATCATTCAACACTTTCACCACACTCGCACATTATCACTGTTTTTGCAGAGGTGCTCAGAATACAACAGTCTAGAAGCATACACATATAAAGATACACAACATATCCCTCCAAACTGCCAATATCCCAAACCCCTCCTTTAAAGTGCAGGCATTGTACTTCCCATTTCCAGGACTCAAGTCCGACTATATGAAAATAACCGGTTTCCCTGAATCCCTTCACTAAATATTACCCTGCTCACACTCCAACAGATCGTCAGGTCCCAAGTACCATTCGTCTCCATTCACTCCTATCTAACACGCTCACGCACGCTTGCTGGAAGTCCAAGCCCCTTACCCACAAAACCTCCTTTACCCCCTCTCTCCAACCCTTTCGAGGACGACCCCTACCCCGCCTTCCTTCCCCTATAGATTTATATGCTTTCCATGTCATTCTACTTTGATCCATTCTCTCTAAATGACCAAACCACCTCAACAACCCCTCTTCTGCCCTCTGACTAATACTTTTATTAACTCCACACCTTCTCCTAATTTCCACACTCCGAATTTTCTGCATAATATTTACACCACACATTGCCCTTAAACAGGACATCTCCACTGCCTCCAACCGTCTCCTCGCTGCTGCATTTACCACCCAAGCTTCACACCCATATAAGAGTGTTGGTACTACTATACTTTCATACATTCCCTTCTTTGCCTCCATAGATAACGTTTTTTGACTCCACATATACCTCAACGCACCACTCACCTTTTTTCCCTCATTAATTCTATGATTAACCTCATCCTTCATAAATCCATCCGCCGACACGTCAACTCCCAAGTATCTGAAAACATTCACTTCTTCCATACTCCTCCTCCCCAATTTGATATCCAATTTTTCTTTATCTAAATCATTTGACACCCTCATCACCTTACTCTTTTCTATGTTCACTTTCAACTTTCTACCTTTACACACATTCCCAAACTCATCCACTAACCTTTGCAATTTTTCTTTAGAATCTCCCA